ACATTTGAAATAGTGATGACATCAAGCCAAAACATGCTCTACTTTTTTATGGAATAAGAGTGACAAACAAGCACACAGTTCACCTGATGGTAAGTATATGCTATGGCCCAAAGACATTTATATCTATCTTCAAGAATCAAACCAGATACATCGTCACCCCCGAGGACTAAGGTGGAAAGCCTTGTACTGAGTGACGACTTTGTATATGCAGGAAATCGATGGATTTTATTTAATATGTTCGGCAGTGCATTTGTGAAGGACTGCAATGATGATTCTATTCAGAATTAATCCAAGGACTAGACTTTAATTAATATATGGTTAGAACTTAGCAGCAACACGAGAAACCCCCGTGGCTCAAATTGTATCCACTGAATAATATATCGCGCTCCGCCGTCAGGACAACTCTGACAGCGGATGACAGATGGCGGCTACTATGTTTTATTAATTAGTTTGTACCTACATATTATCTTTACATTCGACGATAAAATGTGTGCCGAAAATATATTAGCGTTGAATAGAATTATGAACCTATTAATTATTTTTTTTAATACTTGAACATCGAAAACTTTAATAAAAAAATAGTAAGTAAATGACGTTTATTTGGCACATACATTTTAACAAAAAAGGAACAAGCAAGACAGAAAAAACTTTTCATCTTTACAAAAATATAAAAAAACGAACATAATACCTATGCAATAAAGTGGACTCGTAACGCTCATTTTTAGTGGAGCCAAGAGTGTGAGGCAGATGACAAACGACAGCAAAACATAATATAAGTGTGAAATAACAAGAAATGATGGTGATAAAATTCAATGTATTAGAGCTACGTAACAGATATAACAAAACGAGAGATATTTGCATACAGAAAAAAATTGTGTAGTGTGTGTGTGTGTGTGTGTGTGTGTGTGTGTGTGTGTATGTGTGTTTGTGTGTTTGTTTGTGTGAGTGTGTGTGTGTGTGTGTGTGTGTGTGTGTGTGTGTGTGTGTGTGTGTGTGTGTGAGAGAGAGAGAGAGAGGGAGAGAGAGGGAGAGGGAGAGAGAGTGTTTTTGTATGTGTGTGTGTGAAAGAATAGCTATACCGTTTATGATATCTGTAGTTCCAGTACCTGTCTTCGATTAGGAATCAAAATGTAGATGACCCTGAAGACTATATGATGTAATGCCTCGTTTCTAGTGAAAAGTGTTCCCCACACTCACCATACGAAACACAGCATCATTAACCTGTTATTTTACGTAGGTATTCCGTGAAAGCGTCCCCGGTTGAGCCGATCCATTCGTGCTACAATCATAATATAGCTGCAGCATGGCTCTACCACCTTTAAAAATTCTTTGCCAGTAAAAGGGTCTCTGGCTCTTGTCACTCTAGGCATAAAACATACCATTATTATGCTGCTATTTTATGTCAGTACATTGTTAGATTAAGAAAAAGATTTTTGAAATTACTCGTATAATATTTCAAAATCAACGAATGTCTTAAAGTAAAAATACGTGTCTGAATTATTCCGATTTTCGGAAGGTCACTCCTAGAGAATTTATAATTTTGTTAATTATGATAATTAATCAAACCCTGCGAAAGACACCGAATAAGTAAAGATTTTCATTTCAATTAAATTACAAAAGCAACGTAAACACCTCGGTAATAATGCTCGAGACTGATTTAATTATTTTCTCTCCTCATAATCGTTGATCTAATCTTAAGCATCATCATCATCATCATCATTACAGCCTTTCATAAGTCCACTGCTAAACATAGGCCTCCCCCAAGGAATGTCACAAAGCACGGTCCTGAGCCACCTGCATCCATCGACTTCCTGCATGTCTTACCGGGTCGTCACTCCTTCTCGTGGGGGCTCGCCCTACACTTCGCCTACCGGTACGAGGCTGCCACTCAATAACCTTTCTTCCCCATCGGTTGTCGGTTCTTCGAGCTATATGGCCTGCCCGCTGCCACTTCAGCTTACTAATCCGTTGGGCTATGTCGGTTACTCTGGTTCTACTGCGGATATCCTCATTCCTAAGTTTATCACGCAGAGAAACCCCGAGAATAGCCCTCTCCATAGCTCGCTGATGCTATGAGCTATGGGAGGTCTATCCTCCCATAGCTCGCTGAGCAACCTTGAGCTTCCTCATACGGCCAGCAGTGAAGGACCACGTCTACGTCTACGCTATTCCTGGCTACGGTGGCGATCTTAAGCATCGTTGATTAATTTCATAATGATGCTCATAATAACGTTAATTGTGGAAGGTTTGATAGCTAACATAGTCTTACACAGAGGTTTGATAATTTGCACTTTAAGTAAATCAGCTCGCTCCTAGATTTAGTTAAAGTGTCAAGATATGTGAGCATTAAACAACTTTGCTCTCTCTGCTAAACTCTGGCTCCGTGGCGCAGTGACTTAGCTATAAAGTTTTTACATTGAATCATCATCATCCTCATTACAGCCCATCACAAATCCTCAGCTGAACATACGTCTACCCCAAGGAATGCCACAAGGCACGGTCCTTGGTCACCTACATACATGTCTTACCAGGACATCACTTTAACTAGTGTTATTTTACATTTAAACAAAATTAAATATAGTTTTACATTGGATACATTGAATAAAACTATTTTTACAGATTTCGTTTAATTAACTTATTTTATATTCCCAACGTTTCGGTTGCTTTCCAATAACCGTGTTCACGGGGGACTGAGGTGATTGACGTCCCGATGTCAGAGTTAAACCGGAGTACCGTCAGCTTTTTTAATTAATAATTTTGGTCCGATCTACGCAGAATGAACTAACTGTGTCTTGAAGTCTTGCAGTGGTATGCTTGGGTTTAGTTTTAATTTTATGAATTACAGGATCCCAAGCAGGTGGGAGTACCCAGCCAGCAATAGCCTCACGTATCATCCTTGGCAGGAATCCATGTTCTTTCGCGAGAATTTGTGGTTTATCAAATCTAATGTAATGGCGGGGGCCGTCTAGGATATGATCACAAACTGCAGACTTCCCGGAACGTTGGTGCTTCACGTCAGCTATGTGTTCTATTACGCGGGTTTTTATAGATCGTTTTGTTTGCCCTATATATGAGAGACCACACTCACAATCAAGCTTGTACACTCCTGCATCTTGTAGAGGAATATTGCACTTGACGGATGGTAAGAACTGACTAATCTTCTTCGGCGGCTTGAAGAATGTTCTAATAGAAGCTCGCTTCAAGATGTAGCCAATCTTGTCTATTACACCTCTGACATACGGTAGTACAGCAGGCACACGCTCGACTGTGGCCGGCTTCACTCGGTCACTGTGACGTAGGCGCGGAACCCGAAGCTTGTTGTCCTTCAGAACCTGCTTGAAGCTCGGCGGCCAGGTGTTTGCTGTCACAGATCCCTCGTGCTCTTTGGATACATGTTTACTTTTGTGGTAGGCCTCTTCTGCAGATTAAAACCTCTGCCTTCGCTACACAGACAACATGTTATTTATACAGGCACAAGCAATGTATCTATCACGTCGTATGGTGCGTGAGTGTAGAGAACCGGAGACCCTTTTTACTGGATACAACAATGTTATAGTATATATATCTTAGTTCTCAGGGGTAACAACGCATCTCCATTTTGATTCTTATTCGAAGATAAATTTAGGTAATTTATCTATTATTACAAATATGACTATAGTATTTTAATATCGGATAATCTTCGCGGTTGGAGAATATATTTTAATAATGATGTCTGTTACTTAAATCTACGACTGTGGAACAATGGGCCAGCGCTCGGAGAACAATCACGAACTCACAATGCCCCAGAGCGGACAGTCGGCGCCAGTAATTAAAAGTACACTCGGCACCATGCCCCGATGAACTAATGCAATTTCCTTTACACAATGGTTTCATTTTTTTTTATATAATAAGGGTGGCAAACGAGCACACAGTCCACATAATGGTATATGGATGCTGTGATCCATAAACATTTATATATAACATATTTTTTTATCATTGTTTTTAATATAAAATTAAAATATTAGACATTTTAAGAGTATATCTACCTCCTTGTAATTTTTTATAGGATGACGGTGACAAACGACACAGACCAGCTGATAGTAAGTGGATTCTGTGACCCAAAGACATCTACATTTATCCTCGATTAAGAATCAAAATGCAGATGCGTTGTCACCCGTGAGGACTAAGATAGAATGCCTCGTAAAATAGTCTCCGGTTCTCTACATTCACCATACGAAACACATCAATAAGCTGATATTTGACACTGGTATTCTGTGAGATTCTATTACATTACGCTATGAGCCTTGGTAGCTCAGGGGCTAAGTTCGCTGTAAATATGTAAGCGAGCAGCCCGGGTTCAATTCCCGCCGGCACCAATGAAATTTTTAATTGCAATTTTAAGTGCTCAGCGCTCAAGGATTCATCGTGGGGAAACTAACATGTCTGAGAAATTAAAAAAAAATCGAAGACAAGTAAAATCTGCTCACACGCATGGAGGAAGCGCGCTTACATTTCGTTGCACTAAAACCATTTTAGAATTAGAGGAGGTCCGTACCCAAGAGTGGGACATACGCCGCTCCACTGCGTGTTAGCGAACATGACAAGTTTTGATTTTTTTTTAATTTCCCAGACGTGCAGTTTTCTTTACGATGTCTCCTTCACAGCCGAGCACGTGGTGAATGAGGCGTGGTTCGTGAGGTACCTGTGTTCGATCCAACCGGCACCAACAAGAATAATTTTTAGGAAGCCGTATTAAATTACCAGAATTTATTTTAATCATCAAAATGTAATTACATAAACACCTTTGCTCTGCAGTTTCACGCAAACGAACAACGTAAATGTATCTTATATAATAAAATATTACATAGTAATTCAACTGTAGGAAGTAGGTAAGATCCTCCCCTGGGAAGTAATAAAGGATATTGTGGTGGGAACGAGTCGGCACAGCGCGCGATGTCGAATGCATTACCGTATCTAAAGCGACAACTGAATAAAATATTTTATATACCTAAGAACACTACGAATACGTAGGTTATACGTAGTAAAGTCACGTAGTTATATTATTTACACGCTCTCATAGAATACCAGCGAAAAATGGCACCTTAATGCTGCTGCGTTTCGTATGGTGAATGTACGGAAACGGAGACCCTTTTTACTGGAAACAGGACATTCCAGGAAAGCTATGCTGCAGCTATAATACTGTTGTAGTTGTAGTTGTAGCACGAATGGGTCGGCTCTACCGGGGAAGGACCACACTCTCACAGAATACCAGCGTAAAATGGCAGCTTGACACTGCTGTGTTTCGTATGGTGAGTGTAGAGCACCGGAGATCCCTTTTTACTGGAGACGAGGCATTCCATCTTAGTCCTCACGGGTGACAACGCATCTGCATTTTGATTCATAATTTAAGATAGATGTAGATGTCTACTCGTATGGGGCACAGCACCCACATACCATCAGGTGAACTGTGTGCTCGTTTGTCACCCTTATTCTATAAAAAAAGTGCTGAAAAGTGAAAAGACCGACAAAGATGCAATGCCTGAGTCTAAATTAATGAGGGCGATGACTTTTTCTGTCACCAGGGCGGCGCCACTTTGTATTGATGTGGAATATTTGACAGATTTCATAGCGAGGAAGTTAATTTGATAGGAAAATGTAAAGGTTAATGTTTCTTTCTGTAATATTAATTATATTTTATATTAATTAGGTTATAAATGAATAAACCAAACTACTGGTATTCCTAAAAGTTGAAATATTAAAAAAAGTTTAAAATGTGCAAAAACTTAGAGAGCAAACCACAAAGGTATTTATGTTAAAAGTTAAAGTTACAGCCTATATACGTCCCACTGCTGGGCACACAACTCCTCTCACATCTGAGAGGGTTTTAGGGCAAGGAAATGTCTGACGCGCTGCCCCAATGCTTGTTGGTGAACTTCACATTTCTTCGAAATATTTTTTTCTTATTTCTCAGACATGCAGGTTTCCTCACGATGTTTTCCTTCACCGCCGAGCACGTAGTAAATCAGCACTTAGAATTGCAACTAAAAATTTCATTGGTGCCGGCGGGGATCGAACCGGGGTTTACTCGGGTACTGTGAAACTTACAGCGAGCGGTAACCATCTGAGCTATCACGGCTCTTATTATAGTAGATATTAGTGTATTAATCTAATTTTCTAGAAACTGATAAACTTTAATTTAAAGCTAAATTCTTAATTAAATGACGTTGTGTAACAAAAAAACTTTACCACAGTCCCCACTAGCGACATCTGGTGATCAGAAGATTATTAACCCTCATTGACGGAAGATCTTTCTCTGTTTTAACCATTGAACATCCTTATTTTTAAGTGATTAAAATAATATCTCAACTGCACTATGACGTAACTAATAACCATATTGTCGATTGTTTCAGGGCTGCTATCATGGGACTCTGGCGAGCACCAGGTCGACTTGGAGAAAGAACTGGCCACCCTCACGGCGCAGGCACCCGAGGGGGAGGAAGCCAGATATGGTAAGTGTCATTAAGGTTTCAATTATTCCATATAATAATATGTTGATATTTCTCGTGGATCGGAAACTGCAATATTATAAGTACTTACCGGAAGCCGTGCTCGAAAATGACCGCGCCAGACTCTACTGGGACCGGGCCATCATGACAGACACGACTATTCTTGCGAATAAGCCAGGTATTGTGCTGATGGATCGGACACAGTCAAGGATATTTTTGGTCGACATTACTATTCCTTATGATGAGACCCTCGTGAAAGCCGAAACAGATAAGTTCACAAAATATCTGGACATGGCACACGAGATTTTTTTATAGGAGATGGGGGAAAACGAGCATGTGGCTCACCTGATGGTAAGTGACTACCGCCGCCCATGAACACCGCAAAACCAGGGGAATAGCAGATGCCTTGCCGGCCTTTTAAAAATAAGTAGGCTCTTTTCTTGAAGGTCCCTAAGTCGTGTCAGTCCGGAAAAATCGCTGGTGGTAAACTATTCCACAAGGAAGTTGTGCGAGGAAGAAAACATATTCTAAATCGTACAGTGGTGGACCGCCAATCATCCAGATGGTGTGGATGGTATCGGGAGTTCTGCCGCGATGTGCGTTCGCGAAATTTGGCGGCTGGGATTAATCCGAACAATTCCTCAGAGCACTTCCTATAGAGTAAAAAAATCATAAATTGAATAAATATTATATTTATGTTGTATAAACAAGAAAATCTCATTTAAAGTATTAAGGTTACAACGATCAAACCGAGTTTCGGTCACTGTATTATCTTAAAAGGTTCTTGAGTTACACAAGTTCTGAACTTCTGAAGGCTATAATATCAAGTCTCTTAAGTAGTAGAGATAAAGCTCCTGTCCTTTTTATTCACCCTTTTTGTCAACTACGATAACGATTTTGTTCCACGCTGAAAAGCCGAAGGGAGGACAACTTGAGATAGATGTAAACGAAACGGATCTTGCAATATAAATTTTATTTTGTGAAGTAGAAAGTCGCATTTCCATTTTTATATCTCAAGGACATTCTGTCGAGAGTTATACGAGTTTCAGACGGATTAACGTAGTGCTGAAGCGCTTTAAAATTTAAAAACTTCAAATTTTAATAATATCTCCATTATCTTAATTATACCAGGGTGACAAACTAGCACTTGATGGTAAGTGAACGCTGTGGCTGTAGATGCCTCTATCCTGGATTAAGAACTAAAATGCAGATGCGTTTTCACCCCTGAGGACTAAGGTGGAATGCCTCGTTACCCGTAAAAAAGGCATCCGGTTTTGGCCACTCACCATACGAAACACAGCAGCAGTACAGTGCTATTTTACGCTATTATTTTGTGAGAGCGTTATCTTCCCCAGTTGAGCTGACCCATTCGTACTACAACCCCAACATAGCTGCAGCGTGGCTCTACCACGTAAAAGATTGCTATATTCCTGTCTGTAAGGTATGGAGAGCCAGTATCATTACATCTTACTTCTCAGAGGCGACAACATAAATTCCTTGTAACCACAATATCTGTGGCCAAGTTAATAAAAATTTAAATAATACGTTAGTTTCAAATAAAACTATTTTTACGGATGTTTTCGCGGTCAATTTTACTTCTTTTTTAATTCCGATTTTGCAGTACCCATGGTCATGGCGGGACTGAGGTGACTGACGTTGATGTCAAAGTTAAGCCGTAGTAACTTCAGCTTTTAATTGTTAATTTTGGTCCAGTCTACACAAAATTCCCCCAACTGTATCTTGAAATCTTGCCGTGATATGCTTGGGTTTAGTTTTAATTTTATTTATTACAGGATCCCAAGCAGGTGGTAGTATGCTACTAACTAAGAGCCTTACCTAGATTCCAGAGGAAGAAATTTGAAATAAAAAACGGTTGAGTTATTGTGTCAAGCAAAATTATAATCCAAGATTTCATAACGATCCATTACGTGTAACAAGGTGTATCTTAATTAAAATAATCCGGGGCCGTTATTTCTTACAAACACTCGACAGTAAAATCCCAAGTTTACGGGGCTTTTTCCGCCATCTTGTATAAGCCTCGTTAATTTGTTTCGTACTCGAGACGTTTTGTCGGATTTTTTTCAAGACTTAAGCTACGAGCTATAGAATAGAGCCCGCGATAAATTTACACTACATTATTTTCTTTTGTATATAGAACGTCTTCTTTCTTTTTAATTTTGGTCGGCATTTTTAATTATTATAAGCCAGTGCTTGACCACAATTCCAGCAGGTAGTAAGTAACGATGAAGCTCTAAATGGTTAAGAAAGTTACGAACTATAGAATAGAGCCCGCGATAAATATTCACTACTTTATATTATTTTGTGAATAGAACGCCTTTTTTCTTTTTAATTTTCTTACTTGTTTACTTATTATAATAAGCCAGTGTTTGACCACAATTCCAGTGGTTACGAGCTATAAGATAGAGTCCGCGATAAGTATGAGATGAGGCGTTCCGTTCTATTTACAAAAGAATAATATTTCCTTTTTATTTTAATCGGTCGGTATTTTTTTTATACTTATTAGAAGCTAGTGTTTGACTACAAACTCATCTGGCGTTGTGTTGTTGAAGCCATAGATGGTTAATCGTAATGCCTTAGCGTAACCTATTCACTTTTGCCTTGAAGACATTCAGATTGTAATCGGACGGAAAGACAAACGCCGGCAGATATTATCTATAGGGATTATTCTATCCGAACAAAAACAGTTTCACTGTAAAGCATCGCGCCAAGTACACTTTCAACTATAGTTACAAAATTAATAATTACATTTTTACAAAAAAGTTACAAAATAAAAAAAACCAAGTACATAACCGTTTTAGATTCGAAAAAAAAATTGCTGAATAAGTAATAATAAAAAAATGATGTACTTGGTGTGCATGTTTAAGAGTATCGATCACCCAACTTGACATTGGAAGTCGTTTTTTTATAACTTTTTTAAGTTATGCTCGTACTATAAAGTATAATGCACACCAAGTACATAACTTTTTTATTATTACTTTTTCAGCAATTTTTTTTTTCGAATCTAAAACGGTTATGTACTTGGTTTTTTTTATTTTGTAACTTTTTTGTAAAAATGTAATTATTAATTTTGTAACTATAGTTGAAAGTGTACTTGGCGCGATGCTTTACAGTGAAACTGTTTTTGTTCGGATTTCATATCTTTTTGTAAAGTACACAATTTCTTTTTTTTTTCAAATATAGCACACCTCATACCGCGAAGCGGTTGAGTTTGTGCTTTACTCTCAACACGTCAAGGTCAAGAAATTTTTTTGCTCTTTAACTACCTCTACAACAACTCATTTGCACTCATAAGATAATATGAGTAGATTTATTTGAAGAAAATTTAATCAATCTATCTCATATTTTGTACAAATTAATTTTATTTTGCTATTTTAAGAAAACTGAAAAAAATGTTCGTGGACGTCCAGATTTTTTTACGTGGTCACGATAACTCTCGAAAAATTTAACATATCGAGACCGGGTTTTGTTTATTTTTTTAAGAATTATATTAAATAGGTACTTATTTCATAACAATAGTGATGTTTTTTTTCCTCCATTCATTATACAGTCAACTTAGGTATAAAACTTTAACTTGAATTTCAATGTAACTCTGAATTTTTTTTATAGGATAAGGGTGACAAACGAGCACACAGTCCACCTGATGGTAAGTGGTTGCTGCGGCCCATAGACATCTACATCTATCCTCTGTTACAAATCAAAATGTAGATGCGTTGTCACCCGTGAGGACTAAGATGGAATGCCTTATTTCCAGTAAAAAGGGCCTCCGGCCACCTGCACTCACCAAGCGAAACGCAGAGGTAAACCTCTACTTGACTCTGGTTTTCATAATGGAATAAAACTCTACTAACAATTAAATTTTTTTTTCAACTGTACCAGAGTATCCTAGTAGAAAAGTATCATGTGGACATTCGGTAGAAACAGAAACAGAAACTTTTTTATTCAATATAGATTATAAAATAAATGATACTTATTGAAAGTTACTCTTTTGTTTTGTTACCACTGGTTCGAAAAAAACCTGGGAAGAACCAGCAAGAAACCCAGAGGGACTTTTTTTTAAATAACAGCTTACAATCATGTACACAATTAACTACACAACAAACTAGAAATAGTATGTTAGTGATCACCTCATTCCTAGGGGTTATTGTCATCCATAAATTCCTTACTATTATAATAACCCTTTTTATACAAACTTAGTTTAATAAAGTTTTTGAGCTTTGAGCAGGTCAGTGGGCTTGCTCACAGTGTGACCATCTTTAAAATACAGATCCTGCCTTAGTTTGGTTAAAATCCTGCAAACGTTTATAGTGAAAAATACCTAAATACTGCCATCTTTATTTAACATTGTATAATTGTATTAAACTAAGAAAAGTAAAAATACACATTTAAATGCTATATTTTTATTAATTTTATATATTTATATATTTTTCGTTGGTTTGAATGCAATGCAATCGCCATGCTAATCAATGCCTTGTTTAATACGCAAAATAGAGGCTACATGTTTGTTTATATCTAAATCTGTTTCGTGTTTTTGCACTAATTAAATTTATTTGAAGGAATATTTTTTTAGGGAAGAGGGGGCAAACGAGCATGCAGCTCACCTGATGGTAAGTGACTACCGCCGCCCATGAACAACCGCTTTACCAGGGGAATCACAGGTGCGTTGCCGGCCTTTTAGAAAGGTGTAAGCTCTTTTCTTGAAGGTCCCTAAATCGTATCGGTCCGGAAAAATCGTATACATTACATGCGTAATTCTTATTGAAAGTCATTTTTTACTTTACCACTGGTTCGAAAAAAACCTCTGTCCTGGGAAGAACCAGCAAGAAACCCAGGGGGGCTTTTTTTAATAAATTTTACAATACAAAATGATTACAAAATATTTACAAAATTTATTTTAGAAACTGCTTGGAAGCGACCATCTCATTCCCAGGGTTTATTATCAACCATGTATTCATTTATACTATAATAACCCTTTTTTAAAATCG